CTGGAAACAAGTATATACTCCTCAGGTATAAGTCGCTACAATAGGAACCCAGAACCAACAAAAGTATTAAAGTATAGTACTCCAAAACCCTAAACCCTATGCCCTAAACCCTATACCCAGAAACAGTCAAGACGGAGAATCATGAGCCTGCTCTGCATCCCAGTCGACCTGACAGGCCACCTCCCAATACAGAGAGGTTCAGGGTTTAGGGTTTAGGGTTTGGGGTTTAGGGTTTAGGGTTTAGGGGTATTTAAGCATCCAGGTCCGAAACCCTGAACCCGAAACCCTATACCTTTTAAGCCCTCAACACCCAAACCACCTCGGGTTTCAAGTTGAGGGTCGGTCGTTAAGATTTAGGGGAGCACGGTTTGGATTGTAGCAGTGTTAGGGTTGCGGGTTTGGATGCTAGGCGCCCAGTGTCCACATTATTCTGGTGCCCCCCCCCCCCCCCCCCCCACCCTAAAGCGGTTTAGGGCGTAGGGCATTCGGATTTCCAGATTTCGGTGTCCAGGAATTCCCACCATCGTCTTGGGGCTCGGCGGTTTCTCACATCTCGAGAACTTGCACTAAGGGCTTAGGGTTCAGGGTCCAGGTTTTAGGGTTACTGCGCTCAACCCTAATATATCCGTCTTTTCCTTTGCGAGTTTAGTGTATCACCCTGGCACTGATGATCAATCGCGATTTTGGTGATGGAAATCCCGGGAGCACAGGGTTTGGGGTTTACCTAGGGCCTCGGGTTTAGGGTGCACACCACCAGCAGCTCTCAACCTTGAACAAAACCTACAATCATGGACACACGCCCGCCGAAAATGAGGTGGGTTTACCAGTTCAGGGTTCAGGGTGTGTACTTGGAAGTGGAAACTTAGAAGTAGAAGTATCCTGAGTAGGGCTATAAGTATAGTTGCCATACGTGAAATCCTACTTACAACTACTCATGGACCTCCAAGTAGGGTTCTGGTAGAGGTGGACAGGGGATTCTTAGACCCGCGTGCCTCAGCCTGTAGCGGAAGGTAGTGTGCCTGGGAGAAAAATAGGGTTGGGGCCCATGAGTTTAGGGTTTAGGGTTTAGGGTTTAGGGTTTAGGGGTTACGAGTTGCTGGGCAAACCAGTCTAGGACCAGGCGTATCCAGCAGAAGAAAAACCGAGAGACTAGATGCTGCAGTCAGAGCAATGAATTGGGATGTTGCCCCTTATACTAACAGTCCTTAATAGGGAATATATAGTACCCCCCTATTGTATTCCCTATTAAGCAGCTGTTAGCATCAGGAGGAACATCCCAATCAATGAAGACTTTCGTTCGTAGGCGCTTCCCTCGTCTGAGGTCGGTCTGAGGTCTGCCCGTGAACAACGGAGCAGCCCACAATGGCTGGCCAATCCGGCACATGCCTTTCGCTTGCGGGGCTTGAAACGAGGTCCCCCTTTGTACCAGGCTTATCCACCACTTGCTTAAGAAGCCCCCCCCCCCCCCCCCCCCCCCCCCCCAAAAAAAAAAAGGAGAACATCCTTCCGTGTAAGGGCAAGATAGGGCCAGGGATGATTACCTGTTCTTTGTTGGGGGTTCTTAAGCAAGTAGTAGCTTCTGCCAAACCCTCACTCCACAAAGAGAAGCTGTACACAAAACACTTGAAGTCACAGCCCAGGACTCTGGTGCTGTCCTCATCTTCAGACAAGATAAAAACACAGCTGCAAACACCGGCTTGGGGTTTAGGGTTTAGGGTTTGGGGATTGGAGTTTGGGGTTTGGGGTTTAGGGTTTGGGGTTTGGGGTTTGGGGTTTGGGGTTTAGGGTTTAGGGTTTAGGGGTGTTTACGATGCTGGGTCCAGCGCCGAAGAGGCTGAAGGCGACGGTATCATAAGGTTTATGTTCAGGGCTTTCGTAGCACGGGCCTTTAATGTGCGAGCGCTTACTGCTCATGTACCCTGTAAAGCCCAAGGCACATAATTCGGAGCCTCAAGGTATGGAACCACACGAAGGAGCCGCGTAATCACCCGAATTCAAAACGTAGCACAAGGTCTTTGCCACCCACTCACATTCCAAAAACCCTCAGTTGCCTGCCGTCTGCAGCTCTCAAGCAAGAAGCACTCGGAGGTTCATGGGTGAGTATGAGTATGATTATAAGTTCCCGAAAGAAGGTTACAAGTATAGTTGCCATTCTTATAGCCCTAAACCCTGAACCCTCAACTTAAACCCTTAACTCTGACCCTAAACCCTAAACCCTAAACCTAAGTACCCATGAAGCTCCAAAGCAAGGTACTCGAGGAGCTCAACACCCCTTTTGCTCTCTCCTAAGTTGGCCCCGGCAAAACATGCGAAACATATGGGGTTTCCTAAATTGGGGACCATTTTGGGAATATGGGGGTTTCCTAAATTAAGGACCATAAGGGAATTTAATTACTATTGATTCCGACCCCTAGTAGGGTTTGGGGGGCTTTTATAGTCTGCTTACGGGAATACTGTTCCCCAAATGGGGGGGTTTGTTAAATTAGGGGTACCTTATTAGGACCGGTTTAGGGTTTAGTTAGGGCTGGGAGTTTTGGATTAGGGGGTTTCCTAAAGTAGGGGTGGGGTCCTTGCTGTAAGGGAATCCTACTAGTTGGGGATCTCCCTATTCTCGTAAACCTCCACGTGTTCCCACCTGGTTGGTCTAGGTTTTAGGGTTTAGGTTTAGGGTTAAGGGTTTAAGGTTTAGGGAAAATTAACAGATGATTCCCATCTTGAACATACACCGATTAAGCGAACATAGGAAAGACGATTCCCAAGGTCCTACCTAGTGGATTGAAGCAAGAGGTCTTGAGCTCTTTGGCTACAAGCTGCCTGGGTGAAAGGCCTCCAAACGCACGACATCTTCTGCGCGAGACCGTGTCCCTGGACAGCCCTGCGCGGAACACATCTCAGATCTTGCAAACCAGCTTTTTGTTTGGGGTTTTTGGTTTAGGGTTTAGGGTTTAGGGTTTAGGGTTTAGGGTTTAGGCTATATCGAAGCTCCCCTGAAAGACAGATCTGGGAATGACTGGTTGTGCTCCTCGCACGCCAGCAGTTAAAAAATCAAAGCGAAAAACGAAGGACCGAAGTTGCAACCAATTTCGAAGCCGTCATGAGATTGTCGTTCAAGATTTTGGGTTCAGGGCCGTAAACCCATAAACCCTATGTTGCCATCAGGGACCCAACGCATTGTGAGAGTGGCCATGTGGGCACTGAGGATTGCACCCTAAACCCTAAACCCTAAACCCTAAACCCTAAACCCTAAACCCTAAACCCTAAACCCTAAACCCTAAACCCTAAACCCTAAACCCTAAACCCGATCAAGAGCACGTCGACCAAAGCGCCCGGACACCCAAAAGCGAGGACAAATCGCTCAAAAGCGACGACGACAGCTTCGCATTTGGGGAACACGGACGTCTGAAAGAAACTGTCACATTTGCTGAACCCAGACGTGCAGCGACGACAACAGGAATTTGGGGGGAACACAGATGTCCAAAAACGACGGCAACTTCACATGTAACATCATTTAACCCAAACATCAGAAGCGGCGACCGTTTCACATTCGGGGAACACAGATGTCCAAAAGCAGCGACAGCTTCGCATGCTTTACAAACTGATGACGTTTCGAGGACCACGAACGCGGCTACGCACGCGCCTAGGCAAGAACGCGATTTCCATCCAAAATGAAAGCGAGCTTCAAAAAACAATGCATGGTCCAGCCCTGCCACACCGGGCTTGCGCGTCCTGCGTCTTGATCGACCTGCCCCAGCTTACCCTGCATGCAGGAACTCCTTAATGGGCCCTGAAATGGGAACCCCTTAGATAGCCTAAAACCTAAGGGGAGGCGGGGGGGGTGGCCCATACTTCAGAACCCCGTAGAGAAGGTAAGGGACAAGCCCTATAGACCTTCACCCTAAACCCTAAACCCTAGAGTTGCCAAGCATTCGGAGCCTTCAAGAAAAGTCCCTCCCGACAGCAACACGTTGCTGTGGGTTTCATGCGGGACTGCAGGCATGCCAAGAAAACAAGCTCATGGATGGGAAGGGTGTTTTGGGTTTTGGGTTTGGGGTTTAGGGTTTGGGGTTTGGGGTTTGGGGTTTGGGGTTTAGGGTTTAGGGTTTTAGGGTTTTGGGTTTTGGGTTAAGGGTTGAGGGTTGGAGGTTAAGGGTTGAGGGTTGAGGTTTTAGGCTTACTGCTGAGTTTAGGGTTTAAGCCTACAAGTGGTTAAGAACCCACCCAGAAACAATCTGTTCCCAGGATTGGTGCTTTAGGAGGTATGTTCTATTAGTTTTGGGTGGCTCCTAAGCAAATGGTAGTTTGGGATTTAGGGTTTAAGGTTTGGGGTGTATGGTTCGGCGATGCGGGGTTTAAGTTTTTGGGTTTTGGGGTTTCTGGTTTAGTGTTCACAGGGTTTTGGGGTCTAGGGCCTAGGGCTTGGGGTTTGGTGTTTATGCGGACGGCCTTGCGATCCTGACGCATTAACTTGGGGGATCTTTACAAGGAAGGAATTACGAATCTAGGGCTTACCCAAAGGCTCCAATGTAGTTCTTTTTTGGGTTAGTTATAGAAGATTCTAGTATACTACCCCAAAAAGGTACTACATAGGAGCCTTTGGGTAGTCTTTAGGTGGCGCATACAAGCCCCAAACCCTGCAGACCCTAAACCCTTCAAGGCCATGGCAGCCTGTCACGGAATTTTGGCATTCTGCTGCGCTGGGGGCGCTGCGTAGGATCCAACACGTCCACTTGAAGGTTCATGGGGCTTAATAACCACTTGTAACTGTACTTATAACCCTACTTATAATTGGGATAACCCCTATAAGGCCCTTTAGGGGTATTATAAGTAGGGTTATAAGTACAGTTATAATTGGTTAGTAAGTCCCATGAACCTTCAAGCAGGGCTGATAAAAGGGAAGTCTTGCTGCAAGTGCCGCCCAGCGCAAATCAAGCAAAGACCAGGATCAAAATCTCCTGAATTCGGCGGGCACTGTTGTTTATGAACAGCAGGGTTTCAAGATTTCACGAATCCGAAGCCTGCAGCTTCTGTTGCGTGTCCTGCCAGCTGGCAAGGGGTTTGATGGCCATGAGGCCCCCGCTTGCGAGCCGATGTCTAGGACTCTGACATTGACGCAAGCCGTTACACAGACTGCTTGAAGGTTCATGGGACTTAATGACCACTTATAACTGTACTTATAACCCTACTTACAATTGGGAGAACCCCTATAAGGCCCTTAATGGGGTTTTATAAGTAGGGTTATAAGTACAGTTATAATCGGTTAGTAAGTCCCATGAACCTTCAAGTGATACTGGGTAGCCCAGCAACCGTATCTTGATACGGGGTACCCAGCACTCGTTTGCTGTTCGTTCCTCTCTATAAAAGCAAGTCAGAACGCGACAGCGCGGCAGAAGGCTGGGCAGGGCGCCCCTGGGATTCCTAATATAGGGGCCTTAAGAAGTGGAACAGGGTTTTGGGGGGTGTTTTACAAAGGGACCATCAGGGAATACCATCGGTAATCATTCCGACCCCTGTAAATACAGTTTAGGGTTTAGGGTTTAGAATTTCGCCATTGCCTAGGGCTTTGTCCCATCTCCGTTGATCAAGTGGCAGCGCCGGCATATGACAATCATCTCGAACCTTAGTAGGGTTTGGGGTTTAGGGTTTAGGGTTTAGGGTAGCCCAGAGAAAAGTAACTCTTTTTGGGCTGGTGTTCCTTTATAAGGGAACCCAGCCCCAAACAAAAAACAAAATAAAGGGTACCACTGGGCTACCAAGGAACAGCTCTGGGGCAGCTTCCACATTCTCTGCGAAGCAGTCGACATGCCTCAAGTGGCGCTCGTGCATCCGTCGATCAGGCGGAGTTCGAAATGGTTGCTGCCTAAGTTGGGCCCTCTAAACGCTCTGAACAAACATTCTTATGTGATGATCCTCTGAAACCCAACAATGGAAAATACTCGTAAAATACAATTATAACTAAAATTTAAAACAACAAACAAAAATATATATGTATATATGTGTATATATATATATGTATCGCAAGGTCCTACCCAGCTGCCTGTTGGCCTGAACATCCTCTGAGCTCATCGATGACCAGAGCCGGTCGCCGTGCACAACGTCCTCCTCCGAGTAATGCAGCTCGTGCAACCCATCCATCTCAACAGTATCCTGCCTTGGTAGGGTTTAGGGTTTAGGGTTTAGGGTTTAGGGTTTAGGGTTTAGGGTTTAGGGTTTAGGGTTCAGGGTTCAGGGTTTAGGGTTCAGGGTTTAGGGTTTGGGGTTCAGGGTTCAGGGTTTACAACCATCCCTCTCAACGGTATCCTGCCTTGGCAGCACAGTCATAAACTAGACCCAGGAGTAACCTAGGAATAAAAAGTGTACCACCTTTTTGGTTTTAAGGGGATTATAAGGGAACCCCAACCCTAAAAAAAGGAAGTGCGGGGCTACTTCTGGTCCTAGTAAACGGTACCCTTTTCTGGTGTTGGCTACCGTAGAAAAAGGAGGAAGCTCGAAGCAAACGGAAGGGCACAAGGGCACCACTGGGCTATCGAGCTGCGCGCCCGTCACGTTGGGAAGGATGCCTGTCGCGTCCAGGTCCATCACTTGGGGTACGCGCGTCTTGGCCCCAGCCTTGAAGGGACTGACAGGCGCCACGGCGGGCGCGGATGCAGTTGTGATAGGACTGAGTTGTGCTTTGAAAGCCCTCTCAAGATGAAGAGGTTCTCCCTTCTATGGCAAAACCAGGGAGACCCGGGAGATCTTTAAACCCTAAGCCCTAAGCCCCAAAACCCTAAGCCCTAAACAAAAAAGATGTCCCAAAGGGCACAGCCCAGAGGCGTGCTGGCTCCACAGCCCATGATCCAAAGCCACGCGAATGGAAGGAGCCCCCGGCTTGAACTATAGCACCACGCGGATTGCTACTGCTCACCACAGGCGCGTTTAGGGTTTAGGGTTTAGGTCTAAGGTTTAGGGCTTCGAGGTTCCACCTAAGCCCTAAACCAGCCTTGGCTAGCCTTAAACCCCCCCCGAAAGCCCGAAAGCCCAAAACCAGTCGAAACCCCTGAAACCAAACCCCTATGAAAGCCTAACCCCAAGCCCCTAGAGCCAGAAACCTTAGGGGGGGGGGGGGGGGGGGGGGGGGGGGGGGGGGGGCGGGCCTTTAAAAACAAATTCGGGGTTTAAGTTTGTTGGTTTAGGGCAAGGACATATTGGGTTAAATACATATGAACTATATTTATATATATATATACTCATGTTATGTAGGACTGAAAGCATTGTTTAGGACTGAAAGCCTTTTTTAAAGGGATTCTTGGGGGTTGCAAAGGGAAATTATGGTACTTGGAGCTGCATTTATTTCCGAATCAAAAATCAGAAGAGTTCATGTGATAGCCAAGAGGACATTCAATGTTGGGGGTTTGGGTATAGGTATCTTTGTACCCCAAAAGCCCAAGGCCTTAATTCAGGAGTAAACCTTACTAGGCTGGCGCTTATGAAGAGTATTCTGATAGCATGATCCTCTTGAACCCAATATAAGGGAAATTAAAACCATCCCAAGGTCCTACCCTCTTCCCAGACCCCTGGGAGGATCCAAAAAATGGATCCCCTCAAGGGTTCCTAAGAATGCCCCAAGAGTAGTATAGGGTACTATTTTGGGGTTCTATTTTTTGGATCCTCCCAGGGGTCTGGGTTAAAGTTTACGGATCTTGTCTGCGTCGTCGTTGCCTTGTCTTTGCCTGCATGACCATCAAACTCCTCCCACGCCTGCAACAGCTCGGTCCAGGGGCCGGGACTCTGCTTCTACCTAAACCCGAAACCCGAAACCCGAAACCCTAAACCCTAAACCCTAAACCCTAAACCTGAAACCCTGAACCAACACTGAATTCTGGGTTATGAAGCTTGAAGCTGTAGGCGGCTGACCCAGAGAACCTAGTACCTTTGTTTTCATAACATCGCCGATGAGGGGCCCCATTCATCCCGAGTACTACTAAGTTAAGGATTTAGGGCTTAGGGTTTAGGGTCTAGGTCTAGGGGTTAGGGTTTAAGTCATCCCCGAACACTAAGTTGAGGCCTAGTAGGGAATCAAGGAGTAACCTAGGAATAAGCTAAAAGGGGACCCTTTTTGGTTTTAAGGAGATTATAAGGGAACCTAAACCCTAAAAAAAGGAAATAAGGGCCTACTTCGGTTGTTAAGGGTGTTTGTGGGGCTCCCTGGGTATGTTTTTTGAAGGGTTTAGGGCAATTGAGGGCCAAGTTACGATCAAAGAAGCTGGTCCAAACGGCACAGCCCCTCCCCCCCCCCCCCCCCCGTTCAAGAAGAGAATCGACCTTAAAACTAGAGGGGGGGCGCTCATTATAAACTCACCCAAGCGCTTCACCTTAGCTAAACCCAGGAGTATCCTAGGAATAAAGGGAATTTTTGGTTGTAAGGGGATTAGAAGGGAACCCCAACCCTTAAAAACCCTTTAAAAAGTAATAAGGGCCTACTCCGGGAGCCCTAAGCCGCAGCCATGTTGATGAATTGAGGGGCATTGGGCTCTCTGAATATCTGCGCCGAGGGAACGGCCAGGCCCTGGGAAATCTCGCGGAACCCTCAAATCCAGCCAAACCCTACTTGGCAGTTCATGGGTAGTTATAAGTCGGGTTGCAAGTACCCTAAGGGCGATAAATACAGTTACCATACGTATAACCCCCTACTTATAACTACCATGAACCTCAAAGTAAGCCCTAAACACCTAACTCATACACCACTACAGCGGTAGATACAAGACCGGCCTGCCAGGCAAGACGAAGCAGGATGTGCTCTTCAGTCTGCAAACGCCTACGGCAGGAAAAACAAACATAGCCTAAACCCTAAACCCTAAACCCTAAACCCTAAACCCTAAACCCTAAACACCAGACCCCAAACCTAAAACTCTGACTTGTGGAGCGGTTCAGGATTGTCAGAGATCCCTCCCTCTAAGGAATGTAAGGTGGGGCCCACACAGCATTGGTAAGTGCATGGGTTACCCCCTGTGTACCCGAGATCGCTTTAGTCCTCCTGTTTCGCGGTTGAGGGTGTAGGGTTTAGGGTCCGCAACCTGCGATAGGGCTTTTGAGAAGCGTGTCCCCAGTTTGGGTCCTTTGGAGGGTACTTATAATAACCACTTACTTACTAAGGCTCTTGATCCTCCAAGACATTCGCTTCTAAACCCTAAGCACCAAACCCTAAACCCGAAAGCACCCAAACAAGGACCCGGGTGTGCGACCAACTCGATAAGCTCTTGCAACCTGTCACACCTTGAGACGCTGTCAGCCTATTAAGGCCTGGTTCATTGGTGCGCAGTACCCAATGCAGTCACAGAATCCTCACCCAAGCCCTTTACCCTAAAGTGGGACAAACCCTAAACCCTAAACCCCAAACCCTACAGCCCAAACCACATCCTCATTGTCATGCAGGTCTGGGGACCGTCCTACCCCAGCTTTCGAAAGCCCCGAGAACTCTCCCGAAAATCCCCGAACCCCCAATTGCAGGTTTAGGGTTTAGGGTTTAACTCTTAGGGGGTTGAGGCACCAAAAACACCCCAACACCTCAACACCCTCAACACCCTCAACACCCTCAACTCAATAAACCCTAAACCCTAAACCCTAAACCCTAAACCCTAAACCCTAAACCCTAAACCCTAAACCCTAACTGGGGAGTTCCTCCCTGAGGCCAGGGCTGCTGCAAGCGGACTTGAAGCTGCGCGAGGCAATGGCTTCTACGCTGCTCCTTTGCTTGGAGTTTAGGGCTTAGGGTTTAGGGTTTAGGGTTTAGGGTTTAGGGCTTGCAGGTCTTCGGGAGTTTCGGGCTAGTAACCCTGAACCCTAAACCCTAAACCCCTAAACCCTAAACGCTTTTTAGGGCTTATTTTGAAAACATTGGGGTTAGGGCTGTGGTTCAAAGCTTCGGGCACAGGGGTTTAGGGTTTAGGGTTTAGGGTTTAGGGCTTGTTTTTTGAGGTCTGCGGGGGTTTCGGGTTTAGTAACCCTGAACCCTAAACCCCTAAACCCTTTTTAGGGCTCATTGTAAAAACATGGGGGTTAGGGCTGTGAGTACCCTAAACCCTAAACCCTGAATACCATAAACCTCCAAGTAAGCCCCCTTCGTTTACTGACTCCGAGCTCCAGGCTCTTTGCAGTTGCGCCAGACGACCGTCCAAGGCTTGTCGAAGCGACGCCTCGGGTTTAGGGTTTAGGGTTTAGGGTTTAGGGTTTAGGGTTTAGGGTTTGGAGTTTGGAGTTTGGAGTTTCGGGGTTTTGAGATTTAGGGTTTTGGGGGAGGGGGGGGGGGGGGTTAGGGTTTTAGTTCTAGTGTCGACTGTGTGTTCATGGCGTGTCACGTATCACTATGGATTGGGGCATACTCCTTACCCAGACCCCTGGGAGGATCCAAAAAATAGAACCCCAAAATAGTACCCTACACTACTCTTGGGGCATTCTTAGGAACCCTTGAGGGGATACATTTTTTGGATCCTCCCAGGGGTCTGGGTACTGGAGGGGGTTGAGGGTGTGCGATGGAAGCTCTCGATCGAGTTCTGGGGCAAGCAATGTGAAACACCTCTGTAAACCCTAAACCCTAAACCCTAAACCCTTGCAGTTTGGGTTTGGGGTTTTTAGGGCTTAGGATTTAGGGCTTAGGGTTTGAGCATGAAGTGCAAGGGCCATGGCTTGGGGAGCTGGTGAAGCCAAGAAGGCAGCGCCTTCGGGAGTCTTCTGGGAAGGTCGCTGGTGGGGCTGCTCATCAGGGTTTAGGGTTTAGTGTTGGGTATAGGGTTTAGGGTCAGGGGTCATATGTACATGTGTATACTTTTGTATATGTATACCTAGAGTTCAAACTAATGTTTCTAGTGTCTGCATATGTCTGGGTTCCATATGAATATTGGTGAGCATGTATATATATATATATATGTATATATACATATGGCCATGTATCTACCTCTGTGTACACACACATATATGTATGCATATATATATATATATGCATATCTATCGGGAAGGTGTTCAATGGGAAGCACTGTGCTGGAGACTCAAGAGGTGCCCAAGAATCACAACTCAAGCATGACTTAGGTGTCTGACAAACCTAGAATAGGGTTTTGGGGGCTAGTATAGTAAAATTACAAAAGGACCATAAGGGAATAACCCTAAACCCTAAACCCTAAACCCTAAAACCCTAAACCCTAATAGTAATTCTTCCGACCGCCTACATTACTCTGAACGAACATCTCTGGGGGCTTGTGCCTCATCCTGCTGGTCGACAACACCCGCCTCAGCACCGGTTTAGGGTTTAGGGTTTAGGGCTTAGGGTTTAGGGTTTTCCGATGCAGGCGACGAGGGTTGCGGCGGCAGGCTTTTTTTTTCGTCAGGGGAGGGTTGGGGCTTGGGTCAAATGGGCCATCAGTCCCGAAATCTCAGAAGGTTTAGGGTTTCGGGTTTGGGGTTTAGGCTTAAGCCGCAGGAAGTCCTGCCTCCTGCAGCTCAGCACGGGGTAAGGGCGTCGTCGCGCTGTCAGCGCAGCTGCCTGCCGCCTGGCATTGCTAACGTCCACAGCGAGGGGCTCAGGGCTTGAGGGTTTGAGGTTTAGGGTTTGAGGTTGCAGGGTTTAGGGTTTAGGGTTTAGGGTTTAGGGTTTAGGGGTTTAGGGTTTACAGGGTTTAGGGATTCAGGGTACAAAACAGGACACCCGAGGTGCATATGCAAATCAAGGATGGCCATCAGAAACATGAAGCATGGCATTGTGATACTGTCCTTTTTTTGGGGTTTAGGGCTTAGGGTTTAATTAGGGCTTAGGGCTTTGGGGCTTAGGGTTTAGGGTTAGGGTTTAGAGCTTAGGATTTAGGGTGTAGGGCTCAGGATTTAGGATTTAGGGTTTCCTCAACCCTAAAACAAACGGAGCCTTCAGCGACAAGAGACCCCCACACACAGCCCTACAACACAGGAGACGGAAAGAACCCCCTAAATCTTGGTGTTGAGAGTCTTAGGGCTTTCGGTAGACTAAACCCTAAACGCTAAACCCCACTCTGCGCAACCTCGGGGCTTCAGGGCTTTGGGTTTTTGGCTTTAGGCCTGCTTGAGGGTTCAAGGGTTAAGAGTTATAGGGTTTAGAGTTTAGAGTTAAAGGGGTTTCGGGATGAGAGGGATTAGGGTTGAGGGCTTAGAGTTAAAGGGTTTAGGATTTAGGGGTAAAGTGTGTGGGTTGAGGGTTTAGAGCTAAAGGGTTCAGGTTTAGAGTTAACGGGTTTAGGGTTTTCAGGTTTAGGGCTTAGGGTTTAAAAAACAAGTTTAGGTGTGTTCGCGCAAGGTACTGGCTCCCTCCATGTATTAGAGATTCCGTGAGAATAAGCGGTCTCGGCATTCACATCTGCATATCATCTAGCATAGACCATATGCAACACCCACACCCCTTCTTCATAGTACTTCTCTATTGGCCACGGTACTGTTGAGAACACGACGCTAGACCCTAAGCCCTAAGCCCTAAGCCCTAAGCCCTAAACCCTACTAAGCCCTAAGCCCTAAGCCCTAAGCCCTAAGCCCTAAGCCCTAAGCCCTAAGCCCTAAGCCCTAAGCCCTAAGCCCTAAGCCCTAAGCCCTATCCACCGACCTCCCGTAGCCCAGAGCCCAAAATCCTGAGTTCCTAAGTTCCCCCGCTCCCCTAAAATCCCTAAAATCTGGCTTGCCCTAAGCTCCGAATGCCCTAGACCCTAAACCCTAAACCCCAAACCCCAAACCCCAAACCCTAAACCCTAGACCCTAGACCCTAACCCCTGCCAAGCCCAACATGGCCCGTCAACTCCTCAACCCCACACCTCAAGGCCTTCGGGTTTGAGGTGCTTTCCTGAAGCCCTAAACCCTAAACCCTAAACCCCAAACCCCGAACGTTAAACCCTAAACCCTAAACCCTAAACCCTAAACCCTAAACCCTAAACCCTAAACGGCCTCGCGCCCAGTGGTCGATTCGACCAGCGGAGGCGAAGGCGACGAAGTGAGAATCAGAGAGGGCGCCTCTTGGTTTCGCACCGGGTTCAAGGTTTAGGGTTTAAACCCTGAACCCTAGACCCGAAACCTGAACCCCTAAACCCTAAACCCTAAACCCTAAACCCTAAACCCGAAACCCTAAACCCTAAACCCTAAACCCTAAAACCTAAACCTAAAACCTACACCTGGTTCAGGGCGTGAGGGGGTTTAAAGGTCCGGTTCTCTGATCTCTACAAATTGGTACCCAAAAGGGTACCCTCATGCAAGGGGTTTCGGGTTTCGTGTTTAGGGGCTACCATTTAGCTCATGGCTCAGGGCGCTGGGCTGAGGGTTTGGGATGTGATGAGGGTTTGAGGTTTATGCCCTAAACCCTAAACCCTAAACCCTAAGCCCTAAACCCTAAACCCACTAAACATTTAGGGTTTCGGCTTCGACCTTTCTCAGGCGGAGAAGTCATGGTTTGCCCACGATCGGAAGATGTTCTGGGTTTAGGGTTTCGCCAGGAATTCGGCCTGACCCTTGTTCTTTTCAATCTCAACCCTAAACCCTAAACCCTTAACCCTAAACCCGTAACCCCAAAACCCTTCTGTTTCGGGAAGGAGTCCTGAATTCAGGGCTTGCCAACCATGCTCTGGATGAGAATGAAAACAAAGGACGTTTGGCCCTAAACCCTAAACCCTAAACCCTCAACCCTAAACCCTAAACCCTAAACCTGACATTTGGCTTGCTTAAGATAGCCCGTGAAACCCTAAACCCTCAACACTAAACCCAATAATTGGGTGCAAATTATTTGCAAACGCAACGCTGGCACTTAGGGCCTTGAGGGCGCGACGCTAGCAATTAGGGGGTTTGGAGTTTGACGGGTGATTGCAACCCTACCGACCACAAGCTCTGAACCTGAAACAATTGAAGGATGGGTCGTTGTAAGTTGTATACTCCCTATATCCCCACCCGCCAGCGCCCCCACCACCTCCCAACCTGACCCCCTACTCCTTACCCCTCTCCTACCACCCCCTACCCCGTACCTCCTCCTCTCCTTATTTCGAGATTGAGAAAGCTCACCGCTTCCCCAACTCTCACCACTCGGGGCGTTTGGTCCACGACTCCTCGCGGTGGCAAGAAGCCCGCCGTACCGCTCTCACCACTACCCCTGCCCGTTACCACCCCGTACCTACCAAGAGATACCCTAAGCCCTAAACCCTAAACAAAACCCTAAACCCTAAACCCTAAACCCTAAACCCTAAACCCTAAACCCTAAACCCTAAACCCTAAACCCTAAAACCCTAAACCCTAAAACCAAAAACCCAAACCGCCCAAAACCCGATGGATGGCACCTCTCTGGTTGGAGCGACCGGCGAGGGCGTCAAGATCGGAAGTGGTGAAGCCTGCGCCCGTTGAGGGGAGGGGAGGGCTGAGGTTTAGGGTTTAGGGTTTAGGGTTTAGGGTTTAGGGTTTGGGTTTAGGGTTTAGGGTTTAGGGTTTAGGGTTTAGGGTTTAGGGTTTAGGGTTTAGGGTTTAGGGTTTAGGGTTTAGGGTTTAGGAATTGGGGTTTAGGGTTTAGGGTTCAGGGTTCAGGGTTTAGCGGGGCTGGGGTTTAGGGAGTTTAGGGGTTTTAGGGTTCAGGGCTTAGGAGTTAGGAGTTTCGGGTTTAGCGTTCAGGAAGTGTAGGCTTCAGCAGTTGAACCTGTAATGCCACCGGGTTTAGGGTGTAGGGATCTGCAATAAGGAATCTTGTATGGGGGCTCCCCGAGATCTGGTCATTTCGCCACCGAGGCCTCCTCAAACGCCTGGAAAGGGAGTCTTAGGGTTTGTGGTTTAGGGTTTTAGGGTTTAGGGTTTTAGGGTTTAGGGTTTAGGGTTTTAGGGCTTAGGGTTTAGCCCAGTAACCATAGTATAGTAAGGGCACCCTGCCTTTTGGTTGGTTACTTTTCATAAGCGAACCTTGAAGCCCAAAAAAAGGGGGCAAAAGGGTACCACTGGGCTATTAGCCAAGACATCCGAAGCCGACAGAAGCCGGTGCCCATCCAGAAAAGCCGGAAGAACCTTTAGAGTCCCCAAAAACCCCCTTAATAAAGGAATAGACCTCAAAACCCAAAACCCAAAACCCTAAACCTAAAGGATATCTTAGTATGACTTAAGGTATATCCTCCTCAGTGCAGGGGTATTGGACTCGTTGGGGATGCATGGCAGCAGCTTCTTTTAAAACCCCTCAACTCCTGCGAGCTCCCCGGTCCGACCTACTTGGAGCTTCATGGTACTTACTAGCCAATGATAGCTGTACTTATAACCCACTTCAAAAGCCCCTTTAAGTGCCCTACAGTTATGAGATAAGCCCCTTAAGTGCCCGAACATGGTTATAAGTACAGTTAGAAGTACAGTTATAATTGGTTATACGTACCATGATCCAACCTCGCCTGTGCTCTGGCCGAAAAGGCAAAGGATCCCTGCAGAAAATCCTCAGTCAGCAGGCTTGGGTTTGGGGACGAGGATACCCTAAACCCTACACCCTAAGCCCTAAACACAAAACGCCCTTAACAAGGGGGTTCAGGGTCAAGGATGGCCCATAAAAAACCCTCTGGAAAAAACATTCCTGAATGTGAGCCGCTGAAACCCAATTCGGGAAAATGAACAATGTCCCAAGGGCCTACGTTAGGGGATTCGGGCAGTGAACGTTCTGATTGCGAAGACCTTCATGCACAGCCCTTCATGTCGGCCTTTATTCACAAGCCTTTACTTGGAGGGTCGGGGGACTTAGTCAGAAGGTACGATGTGGAGTTGTCCTACTTAATAACCCTACTTAATAGCTGCTCGCGAAGTCCCCAACCCCGCACCAGTTTTAGGTTTCTTCCCTCACTGTGAAGCACTGGCTTCCCAGGCTTCATCCACTCCCTAAGCCCTAAACCCGAAACCCTAAACCCCCACACCATGCAAACAGATTGAAAGGCTTGCCAGAGCTGGAACTCTGTGCATATAACCTGTCTGCGACCTAAACATGCCCAAAGCACCCAATAACTCGTAACTAACGAATGTACCTTAAACTTAAGCAATACAGATTCTACTGGGTAGTTCTCTAAATTGGCTTTCTTTTGGGGTCCTTAGTATAAAGGGGACCCGAATTTAATGGAGAACTACCCTTATGGAGAATAAAAGTCGTATATGCCTTAGCTAAGTATTAGCATGGAGTGTCTAGACCTAAGAGTAACATAGGAATAAGAAGGGTGCCCTTTTTGGGAAAATGAGCGGATACGGGAACCCTAAGCCTAAACCCTAAACCCTAAACCCTAAACGCTAAACCCTAAACCCTAAACCCTAAACTACTCTCTCTGGGCCCCTGGTAGGTAAACCACAACCTTCGTTTGGGAACCAGGCTCCGGATGGCTCCGGGGTGGGTAGAGGGTTTAGGGTTTAGGGTTTAGGGCTTAGGGTTTAGGGTTTAGGGCTTAGGGCTTAGGGTTTAGGGTTTAGGGTTTAGGGTTTAGCGTTTAGGGTTTAGGGGCCTTTGAAGTCGAAAAGGGCTTCCAACAGCTGCGGACTCCTATCACGAGGATTACGGGTTTTTGGAGCACATGCAGGGCACCTTCTGAAAACCCTAGAACTTAAACCCTAAACCCTAAACCCTAAACCTTGGGATGTTCCCCCTGATACTAACAGTCCTTACTAGGGATGATAATAGGGGTACTAGAATCCCTATTAAGGAGTATTAGCATAAGGGGTTGGGAAAGACGCAAAGTTCTGAGACAAGAGCTTCCGCAACGCCGTCCAAAGCAAGAGATGGAGAACTGGCTGGTGTCACAACCTGCATTGCCAGGCCCCAAACCCTAAACCCTAAACCCTAAACCCTAAACCCTAAACCCCAAACCCTAAACCCTAAACCCTAAACCCTAAACTCGGTCGATCCTCAAAATCCTCCGAAGAAATATACCTAAGTATGATCTTTGATCCCAACAGGGCCTTAATTTATGGTAATATTTGAGACTCTATACACCAATGAGAATGCAATATAATCACGACATGGATAATTTTTTAATATCTTGGAAACCCAAGCTATACCCTAAACCCTAAACCCTAAACCCTGAACCGTGAACCCTGAACCCTGAACCCTGAACCCGAAACCCTAAACCCTAAACCCTAAACCCAAGCTATGTTCAAGAGACCTGGGTCAGTGATCCTTTGGAGATGGACTGGTGGGTTGCGTTGCCAAGGCAAAACTCTCAACTCTAAACCCTACCACTATTTGCTTAAAAAAACACCGATTTTTTGCGAAAACACACAATCCCTAAAATACCCTGATAAGGAAGAAGACTTCATTTTTTTGGGGGGGTTCTTCAGCAAATAGTAGCCTACTTAGAGGTTTATGGGTAGGGTTATGAGTACCCTGAACAAGGTTCTAAGTATAGGTATCATACTCCTAACCCTAATTATACAACTAAGAAGTAGAACCTCCAAGTAAGTCCTGACGAGATGGACAATATTTGCAGTAACACATGTGCAACAAGACGACGTGAGACTGTCTGTCGGAAGCTAAACCCTGCAACCCCAAACCCTCCTAAACCCTAAGCCCTAAGCCCTAAGCCCTAAGCCCTAAGCCCTAAGCCCTAAGCCCTAAGCCCTAAGCCCTAAGCCCTAAACCCTAAACCCTAAACCCTAAACCCTAAACTGAACTCGCCATCTGCAGGCCTTTGGCGACGAGATGCCAAATCTGACCACGCGGTCTGGTGAGTTCAGGTCCACGCAGACCTGGGAAAAGGCAACGGTATCTAGCCTCGCTGTAACATGGGGGGTCGGAACAATTGCGAATCGTATTCCCTTATGGTCCCACTATAATTTATACTGTACAGTAATCCCCCCCCCCCCCCCCCCCCAAGAAAAACATAACAAAACTATTGGATTCATTAAGGACCCTATATTACCTGCTGTCATGGCGTTCGTGGTGATGAAACCAGCAATCAACAACGCCACTCCATGTCTACTACGACGAACGACGACGACCATTTCGGTAACCACGAGCACAGCTCATGACTACTAACAACAAACTACGTACTCTTACCGGGAGAATGATAGTAAGACTACATCCATGCGTAAAAGTTCGAACAAAAATAACAATGACAAAAAACGAAGGGGTGAAAAAACAAACAAAGAAATTGGAGTAACAATGAGGAAACACATGTGCGTGGCTCACTGAGACATGCACTTTGCCACCAGGCGATGTTGGCGACACCTGCAGACGCAATCAAAGGCGCCCTCATGCGCCCTCTACCCTAAACCCTAAAAACCCTAAACCCAAAACCCTAAACCCGAAGAGCCTGACGTAATTAGGGCTATGTCTGATATTTCAGGGCAAAAGGCTAAGACCCCTGAAGTAAGGACAATGCCTTTAAAAGATGAGGGGGTATGGGTTTAGGGCCTAGGGGCTGAGTTATATGAGGGGTTCATTGAATCACCCTAAACCCTAAACCCTAAAGCCTAAACCCGAAACCAAAAAACCTGGAAATAACGGCTCCGTGGTATTATTGGAGCCCACAACATACTTAATAGCAACTACATGCTAAGTTCCCCCACCCTCCTAGTTCAGAGAGCCCTTAGGGTTTAGGGTTTAGGGTTTAGGGCTTAGGGTTTAGGGCTGAGCCCAAGACCGGACCCCTGAGTGAAGCAAATCGACCACAAAAAATCTCGGAAAAGGGATCCCTATTCAGTTTAAGGACATCTTCCTGAACCCCAAACCCTAAATCCTAAACCCTAAATCCTAAACCCTAAACGCTAAACTAACCCCTAAACACTAAACCCTAAACCCTAAATCCTAACCTAAGCCCTAAACCCTAAACCCTAAACCCTCAACCCTAAACCCTAGACCTATTCCTGACCTCAGTGGTTTTGGGTCTTCTCTGGCCTTGCCGCGTCCGGAGCTGATGGAGGCTGGAGACTTGGCATCCTGGATTTGGGACTCGCTGGTGACTTCTGCTAGGGTTTAGGGTTTAGGGTTTAGGGTTTAGGGTTTAGGGTTTAGGGTTTAGGGTTTAGGGTTTAGGGTTTAGGGTTTAGGGTTTAGGGTTTAGGGCGAACTGAGGAAATCCAACAATGCTGGCTGCAGGATGTTTCGCGGTTGTGAGGCAGATTGGACTCAAGAATAACAGAAATGCAACGAAAGTCACAAATAATCAGAGGGTTTATGGTTAGGGGGATAACTCCTGCTTCGATTTTTGACTTGTCGTTCCGCAGGCTGCAAGACTCTGTACAGGGCTTGCAGCTCCCTTCGTCTATGTTTAACAACTCTGGCACTGACCTTTGCCAAGGAGCTAGCATCTTTGCTATTTTCTTGACTGGATGCTGCACGATACTGCTGCTCTGACTGCTGCTTCTTCTACTGCTGCCACATGACGACGCCGACCACAACGACGCTGCTGTCACTGCAACCCTAAACCCTAAACCCTAAACCCTAAACCCTAAACCCTAAACCCTAAACCCTAAACCCTAAACCCTAAAACGACTGCGACTTTGGCTTCCACACCCTCCCAAACCCTAAACCCCCAACCCCTTGAGCCCGAGTCCCTAAATGAAGGCAATGAAAAATGTACGCCTCTACTCATGGTCACGACTCCGAAAAAGGGTAAAGGTCGACTCACTACTTCGGCCCTGTGTACCCTAATCCCTAAACCCTAAACCCTAAACCCTGAACCCTAAACCCTAAACCCCCTAACGCCCACTGCATGCTGGCCTGCTTTTTGAGCTTCTCCTGCGCTGCGGAGGTCGCAGCAGGCACTAGGGTTTAAGGGGAAATGGCTCTGCATGGCTTTGGGTGTAGGGTTTAGGGTTTACCCTACACCCTAAACCCTAAACCCCAAATCCCAAACCCTAAGCCCTCAACCCTAAACCCTAGCCCTAAACCCTAAACCCTAAACCCTGAACCCTGAACCCTGAAACCCTAAACCCTGAAACCCTAAACCCTAAACCCCACATCCTGCACTTCGCACCTTCAGGTGCACGTTTTCCAGCTTCACCCGGAGCAAAGCCAGCGAGGCCACCTGCCACCGGAGTTGGGCGAATGCTATCATGGGATCCGTTTAGGGTTTAGGGTTTAGGGCTTAGGGGGTTAAGACTGCAAAGGGAATTTGCTCAAAAAGGTAGTTCAGACTAGGGTTCATGGTCCCCCAAACTACTCATAAAGGGAGTTCAGAATAGGGTTTAGGGTTTAAGTTTAGGGTTTAAGGTTTAGGGTTTAGGGTTTAGGGTTTTCTATGGCCGCCAGACTACGCCCGCCTTTTTGCTACCTCCAAGCTAAATGAGCGGTGCTCAAAACCCTCGCGTACCATGTCACTACCAAAGCAAAAAAGCTGGCGCCAGCTTATCCCTAAAGTATGTTTAAACCCTAAACCCTAAACCCTAAACCCTAAACCCTAAACTTTAAACCCTAAACCCTAAACTCAAGGAACTCGCGCACCATATCCTTCCAGCTCAAGAAGCTGCGCTTGAGCAGGGCGCCGGCTGGCAGCTCCTGCGACCTCGGCATTCTCAGGGGTTTAGGGTTTAGGGTTTAGGGTTTAGGGTTTAGGGTTTAGGGTTTAGGGTTTAGGGTTTAGGGGTTACGGGCAGGGGTTTACAGGGTTCAGGTCGGTTAGACAAGGTTGGCCCCTTGTACATTCTCTGAATACATCCTTAAATATCATCCTCTTGGACCCAATAAAGAGAAACATAAAGTATCCCAAGCTTCTACCCAAAAAATGGTACTGTGCAACCAACACACTCACGGGTGTGCCTAGAATTTCCTGGAAAGGTCGAGGCTAGCTTGCCCAAAACCCCTTGATTAAGGAATATACCTTAAACTATTTAGGGACCCTTGGTACGATTTTGAGGTGCATTCCAGAATTAAGGGGTGTGAGGTTCTTTGGGTGCACCTTAAGACTTGCTGCAACATGCCTCACAAGCCTCAAGCGCGGCAGTACTGTCCCATTTTTTGATCGAACCGAAAAACACTACCGAAAAGAGCACACCACTTCGTTTAATCCCACATTAGTGTTCTCTACCTTTCACCCGAACCCGCTTGAGCAAAAGTGGACCCTACACGTACCCTTTTGGGGGTTGGCTACTTTGTTTTTGTTGGGGTTGGTTACCCTGTTTTACAAAAGAACCTCGAACCAATAAAAGGGCAAAAGGGCACCACTGGGCCACCAAAAACCCTAAACCCTAAACCCTAAGCCCTAAACCCTAAACCCCAAACCCTACACCCTAAACCCTACCAAGAGAGGCAGCTCTGGGGGTGTGGCCCATCTACTGTACTTAGGCCAAAGGTGCCTCGAGTTGCAGATGCCAGGGTTCCGGATAAGGGACTAAGCGATCTTCTTACCGGCTAGGGTTTAGGGTTTAGGGTTTGGGGTTTAGGGTCCAGGGTCTAGGGTCTCGGGTCTAGGATTTAGGGTTTAGGGGTAGCCGAGTTCTCTAGGCTGTAAAGGCTGAAGCCTTTGGTGGTTTAAATAGGGCGCGCAGCCATGTTGCAGCAGGGGCAGGGGCTACTCAGCACCTAAATCCTTCGTCCAGGGTCTAAGCCGAAGAAGGCCCCCACCCTCAACCCGAACCCTTGGAACTCCAACACTCCCACTGCAGCTCCCCGAAAGCACAACGTCTATTCCTCACTTGCAAGTACAAACTGAAGTACAAACCCTCTGACTTTTTTCTGAAATATCAGCCCTGCAAGCCCAACAAACATCCAAAGCCTACTAGCCTCCAGCAAAAAAGTACATTGGGCACCACCGTCGTTCCCCTGGAAACAGGGTCCTATATACCCTTTACGGAAATATATAGAGGTACCTCATTCCCTCATTCCCTACCAGAACCCGCCAGTCGTTCTTGCCTTCTGCTTGGGCGAAACGCGGCAGAGCGAAGTCAAAGGGGGGCCGAGTCTGGCGGGGTCAGGGGTTTAGGGTCTAGAGTTTAGGGTTTAGGGTTTACGGTTTAGAGTATAGGGCTTAGGGTTTAGGGGTTGGGGCATAGGGGTCGATTTAATTTCGGTCCTAGCAGACTTGGACTTGAAGGTTTACAGCGGGCCAAATGGGGGTTTACGAAAACAAGGGACCCCTACGGGAGCCCTAATATAGTCCCCAATAGTCGAATTCCCTTCTCATAAGGACTCAAATAAGGTACCCCTAATTCGTAAACAATGTTCTTTGGAAAAGCACTCGCCGGCACAAGAAATCCGAGACATCTCGCCATCCATCGCGAACCCCAGTGTCAGCAAAATCCTTCCTCCGTGGCAAAAGTGGATGGCCGTCTCAAGAGTAGAGCGGGGTAGCCTAAACCCTAAACCCTAAACCCTAAACCCTAAACTGAGGCATGCAGCGCTGGAGGTCCCCCACAGAGCCTCGCCAACAGGGCGAGCGGAGAACAGCCCGGATAGAACAGCCCGGATGGACCACCTCCTGATACCGGGCTCTGTCACGCAAACTCCCACAAGCATGTCCGCATTTCCTGACACAGCTGTTGGGTGCACTAATGGGTCCAGCGATCCCCATACCGCCAGCTCATCGGAGTCTCCAAAGGCCATGATGAGGCGATGCTCGGGCTTGAGGAAAAACTCGCCCTGTTTGGCTGCAGCAATGTAAACAACAAGGGCATTCTGGGGCAACGCCGAAAGAAGCGACAGGACAAAGGCCTCGTGATAGAGCTGGTGCTGTTCGCCAATAGAAGGGAAGTCCAGGCCCAAGGAAAAGCAACTCACCAAGTCCCAGGGCAAGGTGGCTTCAGAAGTTGCAGTCTTGCGCGCCATTCTCGCGAAAGGCTCGTCCGCCGAAAAGGTGGGAGTTCACACAAACGAAGCGTCTCCAGGCAGCTTGCTCCGCAGAAACCACCGCTACGCCAAAACTCTGGTCCCTTGACGTTAACGCTACGCCTTGACTCCGCCTTGACACATGCCTCAAGTGACTATGCACAAGGCATGCAGCACAAAAGCCGCCAGCAGCAGCAGCAGCACCACCACCACCAACACCACCATGATCATGATCATGATGATGGTGATGATGATGATGACAACAGCAAAACGAAAGGGCAAAAACCAGAGCAAGTGAAAGACACGAACAATCTTGTGGGAGCTTGTTGGGGCTGTCGGGACCTTCGAAGGCAGTGGCAGTGGCGGCGTCTGTGGCAGCAGGCCCACTTTCCAGGACACCTGAGTGACATGAAGCTTCCCTAAACCGTAAACCCTAAACCCTAAACCCTAAACCCTAAACCCTAAACCCTAAACCCTAAACCCCCCAAAAAACACTAAACCCTATATGTGCCGCCGTTTCATGACTTGGCCTCCCATACGGTGCTTGTGCAGAGCTTGGTAGCCCAGTAACCATATTAAACTAAGCGCACCCCTTTTTTTGGGGTTGGTTACTTTAAAAAAGGGAAAAAGGGTACCACTGGGCTACCAAGAGAATACATGAGTATACTCCTTCACGAGTCGGATGTCCAAGATCCAATTCGTCCTACTTGTCATGCCAGGTTGGAAGCACTGAGCGCCACACGTCCGTAGGCAACTTCCTCGGTAGGGCGGCGCATCTCGACAAACGAGAACCCCTACGAGGGTTTAGGGTTTAGGGTTTACGGTTTAGGGTTTAGGGTTTAGGTTTTAGGGCTTAGGGCTTAGGGTTCAAGATCCTGTAGACTCAACTCCTCCTTCGCTTTGAATACCCAGTGATCAGCCCTCTTAGGGTTTAGGGCTTAGGGTTTAGGGTTTAGGGTAAACCCTGATCCCTAAACCCCAAACGATGCCTGGCTCAATTGAACTTTCAACCGTGCAATATAGTGGCCTTAAATAATTAGAATAGGGTTTCGGGCGGGTATTATAGTATAATTCTAAAGGGACCCTAATTAAGGGAGTACGATTAGCAATTTGTCCGACCCCTATGCCATGCAACAAGATCTTCTGCGCCCCTATATCGCAAGGCAGCGGCAAGCATTATCAAGAACTCAACCTGAGACAGTAAGCCGGACGCCATAATTATCCCGCACCCCCCCCCTACTTTCTGTAGCAAAAGATACCAGATTAAAAAAAATTACTGCTAGGGGATGCAGAAGGACTACCGTTCAGATGCGACTGTGAGCGCAGCCTGCAAGATTTGAGACAATCTGACTTGCCGGATCAGGGTTTCGCGAGATCCATCCGGGGTTTGCCTTAAACCCTAAACCCTAAACCCTAAAACCCTGAACCCTAAACCCGAAGCCCTAAACCCTAGACCGAGGTTTCGAGTCTCTGGTCTACCCAGGGACCTCTACCCCTTACTTAAGGAATGCTATTTCCTTACAAGAATAACAGAGTTCCTTATATGGTTAAATAAGGCTAGACCCGGGAGTAGCCTAGGAATGAGAAGGGTACCCTTTTTGGTTTTAAGGGGATTACAAGGGCACCCCCAACCCCTAGAAAAAGGAAACAAGTGCCTACTCCCGGTCCTAGTAGCCCTAAACCTTAAACCTAAACCCTAAACCCTAAACCCTAAAGAGGGTGGAAATGGACAGCGGAACCGAAGTCATCAACCTCACAAATTGCCCCTAAAACCTAAACCCTAAACCCTAAACCCGAAACCAGAAGGCCTAAACCCGAAACCCGAAACCCGAAACACTAAACCCGAAACACGAAACCCGAAACCCGAAACCCTAAACCCATACCCCTTCAATCAGTTTGGCCGTCTTGGCAAAAAGCCTAAGCCCCTACAGGCTTGATTCCTAAACAATTTTCAAGTAGAAAACAAACAATGTAGATATGTACATACATAAGGAAAAGAGGCAAGAGGAAACGATTAGAAAGACCCAAGCGGCTTCTGCTTCATACACATATGTACATGTATATAAACATATAAAAAGATGCTTTTGAAGCACGCAGACCTATATACCCCTAAAACCTTACACTTGAACCCCAAACCCTAAACCCCAAACCCCAAACCCTAAACCCTAAACCCTTGGGTGGCTCTCTTGGCATCTCGGCACCGCACGCCGGCGATGGCGTGGCGGAGTGCCACGGAGGACTTCCGGCCTCGGGTACTTCAAGGGTTTAGGGTTTAGGGGGTTTGGGATTTAGGGTTTAGGGTTTGGGGTTTAGGGTTTAGGGTTTGGGGTTTAGGGTTTAGGGTTTGGGGTTTAGGGTTTGGGGTTTGGGGTTTGGGGTTTAGGGTTTGGGGTTTAGGGTTTGGGGTTTAGGGTTTTAGGGTTTGGGGTTTAGGGTTTGGGATTTGGGTTTGGGGTTAGGTTTTTGGGGTTTAGGGTTTGGGGTTTGGGGTTTAGGGTTTGGGGTTTAGGGTTTAGGGTTTGGGGTTTGGGGTTTAGGGTTTGGGGTTTAGGGTTTGGGGTTTAGGGTTTGGGGTTTAGGGTTTAGGGTTTAGGTTTTGGGTTTAGGGTTTGGGGTTTAGGGTTTGGGGTTTGGGGTGTGGGGTTTCTGCTGCATGATGGGGTTTAGGGTTTACAGGGGTTAGGGGCTGTAGAGCCTTATTTAGGCTTTATAGGAATCAGGGGTTTAGGGCTTAAAGTTCAGAGGGGCAAAACTGCAAAACAGGAACTGTAAGGGAAAATGATTAGTAATTATTCCGACCTTAAAAGTACTTCAAGGGTTTGGGTCTTTTAGAGTTGAGGAAGTTTAGGGTTTATAGGGGTTGGGGGTTTCACGGCTTAGAGTTCGAGCGCACGGTTGTGAGGAGGAACCACGCACGCTCGTGGCAAAGCGCATTGGCCGACAGTTCCTTCAACGACCAATACGTGTTCTCCAGCTTCCGCTTGTTCGATACTTTCAGTTGATTGCCTGGCGACACTTGGTCGCGATAAAAGGCCATCGTCCACGGCGTTGCCGTGAACGATGGTCTTTTCGCCAGGCGCTCCTTCAAGAAGGCTTGCAGACTCGGGGAAACGTTTGTGAGATGGAGAACTGTGGCCGCAGGGTCGCAGTAGTTCACGGCCACCGTCTTTCCACGTTACCGCGGTACTTGCAATGACAGCCGGCAGCTGCCAGCCGGTGTGTAAGATCACTCGCAGCTCCCCCAGACTCCTTGATCATCGCCGCAGCAGCTTGTTGTAGCTCTACCGCAGAGGCTGCCTCGAATGCAACAATTCGAAAAAAATGTCACTATGGGAACTGGACCCTAAACCCTAAAACCCTAAAACCCTGAAACCCTTCATTATAAGCCTAAACCCTATACTATTAATGTACCCATCCTGCATCTGCATGTCCCACTGCCGTACGGAGTCTCCGCACTTGCACTGGCCATCCTTTTTCGCTTGATTGTCGTGGCGGAGATTCCAGCTGGCAACTGGTCGCAATCACGCACTGCTTAGGGATATAGTTATAGGGGGCTTGTTGGGGTTTAGGGCTTTTTTAGCCTCCAAAACACATGTTCCTAAAGACGATCCTCTTAAAACCCCAAGAACGGAAATGCAAAACTACCAACCGAGCTCCTCTCGCCCAAACGCAGGAAGATACCTTGAATCAGAGTCGGGATACTTTATTCATTCCTTAATTCAAGGGTATTAGGCCCTTTGGGTGCCTACTTGGGGGGTCTAATATAATATAATATAATATAATATAATATATGGCCCCTACTTACCCTAACCCACCGAATAGGGTTTAGCGTCTGAAGTTTCGTGTTTAGGGTTAGAGGGGTTTTGACGCTTACGATTCTAAACACACACGCACTTAAGCTCGTACTCTAAGGCTAAACTCTCAAACCCCTGAAAACCCCAATCCCTGAGGCCGTGAAGCCCCAACGTAATACGGCTTAAGGCCCAAATCCTTAAAGTCCGAAAGCACGGCACCTAAAACTCCAAATCCCTCAAGCCCTAAAGCCTAAAGTCCTAAAGTGCTACACCTGATACCCAAAGTACTACACCTGAACCCCCAAATCCCTGAAGCATTACAGTGCTAAAGTACTATACTAAAGTAAACCCTAAGCCTTAAACCCTAAACCTTAGGGTGCTAAAATACTACACCTGATACTAAAGTTACTAAAGTAAACCCTAAGCCCTAACCCCTAAACCTTAAAGTGCTAAAGTGCTAAACGTACTAAAGTAGACCCTAAACCCTAAATCATAAACCTTAAAGTTACTGAAGTAGACCCGAAGCCACTACACCTCGCAGCCAACATTTCTAAAGCCCTAAAGTACTACACCCGAAACCCCAAACCCTGGCATCCCTGTAGTCCAACACCTTAGGCAGGGTTTAGGGTTTAGGGTTTAGGGTTTAGGGTTTAGGGTTTAGGGTTTGGGGGGTTGGGGTTCAGGGGCTCAAGGTTTAGGTTTTCGTGTTAGGGCTCAGGGCCTTAACAGGGTTTGGAAGTTATGATCGTATAATTAATTAAATATATAGGGCACATAAGTGAATTGTATTAGCAATTTGTCCGACCCCTATACTAACGCACACCAAATCCCAGGAAAGCCGAAACAGCCCGAACCCCTGAACCCTACGGTTGAGGGGCTTAAGGCTTGGAAAAACATGGGTAGTTCCTAGTAGGGCTACAAGTACTGAGCAGGGCTACAAGTATAGTTGGCATATGTCTACCCCTGCTTTCCATCTAGAGTCCCAAACACCAAAGGCCTAAACCCGAAAAGCAGCAAGACCCTAGACCCTGAACCCTAAACTTTAAAGCCTCAACCTTAGACGGACCCTGGACCTCAGGCCCCTGAACCCTAGAGCGCCCTAAAGGCCCTAGACATCCTAGGGTTTAGGGTTTAGGGTTTAGGGTTTAGGGTTTAGGGTTTAGGGTTTCGGGTTTAGGGTAAAGCCTGGGCCCCAGGCCGAGAACT